TAATTATTAACTTGCTGTTACCCTAAGCACTTAACATTTACTATTGTAAGTTATTATTATAGTAGCCACGGCAAAACATTTGAGTATGACTTACCGTTAATGATTATTTTTACATTTTGGTGAGAAAAGTAGCAAAGGTATTATCATCAATTGGAAAAAAATGATGGAAAGGGATATATACAGCTTACTCCAAAGGATATAATGAATCAAATAAGAAGTAGGAATAGGAATTCCGAGTGATCTTTTCACAATTAGGCTCTGATTTCCACAGGACTAAATCTTTCTTTATATTAAGTACAAGGAAACGGGTATATGAAGTCTTTGATTTCAGTACCCATGTTATGAGAAGAACTAACAAATAGTAATTTGAGCTGTGTCTAGAAGTATCCATCTCACTAATTGCAAGGGTGATTTATATCACTCAGTAAAATTATGCTGTGGGTGCACTTTTTGTATTTCACAGAATTATGGCTCAGGTATGCTTTATCCTGAAACACATCCTTCACAAGTTAAACCCTGAAACACCCTCTAACCTGTGTTTGCCCCTTACCTGGCCCAATTCTTAACTCTCTCTAATTTGATTTATGCACTTATCTTGACTATACTTCAGTTTCCCCACCCTGGAAATGTGTCACCAATAACACCTTATTAGTTCTTTTCTAGATTGATCTAGTTAATGATAAAAAACCAGCCACTACAAATTTTATGAGGGCAAAATTTACATCATAGTCCATAAGCGGCATGACCATGACAGGCCTAGGTGAAATGTCTGTAGAGGCTATAGACACATAATTTCTGTCCTTTCTGGTAGAATCCAGAAATTCTGAAGTTTGTTTGGTTTGTTTCTTAGGTTGGTTTTATTTTCCAGAGTCATTATTACCTGCAGGGACTCCTGGGTGGAGCTATAAAAGGAAATAAATTATTTACATTTGCAGATGATAGGATAATATAGTTAGAAAACCCTCATCAATGATAAATCAATTTAAATGATAAAAGCAAGATCTAAAATTAATATGAAAAATCAATAGTATAGAGATATACAAATAATATTTAAATAGGAGAACTAGTGGAAGAAAAACTCAATTTATCATAGCAACAAAATGAACTTTAAAAATCTCAGAAATAAATTGAACAAATAATATTCAAAATCTATCTAAAGAAAACCAAGAGACACTCCCCTCTGTACCTTGCTCTATTTTGGATTGCTCAGCATAAGCAAGATATCGATTTTTTCTGAGTTAAAATACCAACAGCTTTTTTTTAAGTGCTAAACAACTTGATAATTAAGTCCATATTGAATAATAAAAATGCAAGGATATAACTAGGAACATTTTGAAAAAGAAGAGCTATGAAAGTGGGCTAGCCCTAACAGATATTTAAAAATTATAAAGCTGTGGTAATTGAAACAGTATAATGGTACATGGGGAGATAATCAGATCAATGGAACAGACAAGAAACTCTAAAAGTAGGACCAACATTGTGTGGAAATCAAGAATTTGATGTATTTGATCATAGTGACATTTCCTAGCACTGTAGCAAAGATAGACTAAAAATGGTGTTAAGGTAATTGGATAACCATTTGAAAATGATAAAATTGAGTCCATTCCTCATAGCACATGCAATAGAATAAAACAGATCAAAGATCAAAAAGTAAAAAAAAAAAAACTGTATTATTCAAGAAAATGTAAGTGAATTCCTCTATAATTTTCATGTAAGAAAAGACTTTCTAACTGTAATTCAAAATGCAAATGCAATAAAATGTAGACAAATTCAACTACATAATTTTCTTACCCTATGGCAAAAAATAAAACCACTACAAACAAAGTCAAAAGGAAAATGACAAATTTAGAAAAAATATTTGAAACATAAATCCTAAGGAGATGATACTCCTAAAATGCAAATATTAAAGGAAAAGAAATAAAAAAAACTCATGTAAATATGAACAAAGTTCAGGCAATAGAAATGGCTTTTAAACATATGAAAAGATAGTTTCATTCATAATAGAGACATTTATATTCAAGCTGTACTCAAGGAGCATTTCTCACCCAAGAGACTGGCAAAAATTAAAAGTATTGACAATGTATTCTATTGGAAAGACTGTGGGTAAACAAAAACTTTGATACATTTATTGTTGGTAAAAATGAAAACTGGTACTGTTACTATAGCAACAATTTAACAATATCTACAAAAAGCACCCACATTTATCTTTTGACCCAGCATTGCTATGTCTTGGAATTTACTCTGAAGATACACTTAAAACAATGTGAAAATATACATAAACGTGGTTATTTGCTGCAACATTATTTATAATTGCAAAATATTGGAAAGTAGCTAAATACTCAAATATGAGATGGGTTGACTATGGGTAGAATACCTATTGATATACTATATGGCTGTAAAAAAGAATGAGAAAAATCTCTACCAATTGATACTGTTTTCCAAGTGGAGAAAAATTTTAAAGGAGAAAAAATAGGGGAAAAGTATAAATTTGCTCAACTTTTGCAGAAAGCAGAATAAGAAGTTTAAACAAAAATAAATGAAATTAGCTACCTGCAGGAATGGTTGTTATGAGTTGAATTGTGTTTTCCCAAAATTTATATGTTGAAGTTCTAACCCCCAGTGACCTTATCTGGAGATATAATTTTTAAGGAAATAATAAATATTAGATGAGGTTATAAGGATGGGCCTTAATTCAGTACAAGTATGACCTACATTCTCATAAAAGGGGATATTTGGATATAGGTACATACAGGGAGAGGTTGGCCATCGACAAGCCAAACCTGCAAACACCTTGATTTTAGTCTTCCAGACCCCAGAAATGTGACACAATAAATTTCTATTGGTTAAGCCACTCAGTTTTTGGCACTTTATTATAGCATCTCTAGAAAACTATTAATAATACAGCAGTAGTGATGGGAAGAGAGAAAAGGCATGTTTTGGGTTAACAATTACTGCTTAAAACACCATCCCCAAATCAGTGGATCAGAGTAATTTGATAGGTCAAGAATTTCAGCAGGGCATAGTGGGTAGCAGCTCATCTCTGCTCCACAGTATCTGAGGCCTTCACTGGGGTGGCTTGAGTGGCCAGAAGGCTGGGACAACTTAGCTAAGGCAGTGTTCCTGGATGCTCGTCAAGGGCCATCTGCTGGAACAGGTGTGGGCTTCTACTCTCACATATCTAGTACCTGGAAGTGGATGGCTAGGGTAATTAAAGCTAGGGAAACTAACAACATTGTTTTCTCTTTATATGGTTAGTTGGGCTTCCTTACAATGTGGAGGTCTCAAGACAGTTAAGATTATTACATGTGACTGACTTCTCCCAGAATGTGCATTCTAAGAGGTGGGAAATGGAAATCCAAAAGAGACACACATCACTTCTACCATATTATATTGGTCAACGCATTCACAGGGCCACCTGGATTCCAAGAGGTGAAGACATATACTCTGCCTCTTAATGAGGGAGTAGCAAAGTTGAATAGCAAAAGAGCCTGTGGGATGGGAAATGTTGCCATCATCTCTGCAGAACACAATAAACCACAGGATGGATGAGATAGGGCAAAGAGTAACATTTCTCTGAAAATGCCTTTTAAAAATACAGTTTTGACTTTGAGAAGCAGTTTAACATTCTAAAACAGGGACGAGCAAGCAATAGCCCACAGACAAAATACAGCCTGCTGTTTGTTTTTGTAAATAAAGTTTTATTGAAACTCAAACACATTCACTTGTTTACACATGGTCTGTGGGTAGTTTAGTGCTAAATTGGCAGGGTTACATGGTAGCATCAGACTCTATGGTCCACAAAGTCTAAATTATTTACTACCTTGCCTTTTATAGAAAAAAAATTTGCTGATCCCCATTCTAAAATATAAGAATTATTTAATTAAACTTGCAGTGTTGGAGAAACACAAAAATTAAAACTGGATACAAACAATTCCAAATGAACCTCTCTGTAATCCAAATGAATAACATAAGTACACCAAAAAGAAGAAAAAAGAACTAATTAAAGTGCTAATTGAACTTATTTATTAATAAGTCTGTGTACCTACTGTCCAGGGAGAAAAAAACATTGCAAATAAATCTTGAACTCTCTTACATAGGTTTGTTTTCTTGTGGTGATGTTGGTGTAGAAATTCTGAAATTTACTTATGTGTAATTGTGAATTTGAGCAAATGATTCAATAAGTACTAATGACGTTGGAAGCATCCGGTCATCGCTGTAGGAGAAAGAGGCTGCAAAATGGCAGGGAAGAAGGCAAGGAAGGGCCCTGGGGGTGGGGCTTAGGGGTGGGGCTTAGGGGTGGGGGTGGGGCTTAGGTTCCATCTTTATCCACATCTGTCTAATCCGTGTCTTCTGATTCTGTCTGCTGAAAGACCTGGAGTCACCGAGTCGCTAAACACCTCAGTATTCATAAACCTATTTAGTGCCCACATATTAGTTCCTAACTTCCATTTTCTATTACAGAGAACAGGGGCTTCTTGGAAAAATAGCAAATTTCTGAACTAAAGTAGGAAAGTAACACAGCAGCCCTGAAACATCTTATTGTGCCAATAACTAAGGAAGTACTAAAAAAAAAAAAGTAATAAATTATTGGGCATGTCAAAAAGACACAGGGCAGTCCTTTTTAAAACGGTCAAGTTTATAAAAAACAAGAAAAGTCTGTGATAGAGCAGAAGAGGGTAAGGAGACACGAGAGCTAAATGTAGTGTGGTATCCTGATGGGAAAGTGGGAAAGGAAAAGGACATCAGGAAAAAAACTAGTAAATTTGAATAAAGTGTAGCATTTAGTTAATAATAATGTACCAACGTTGGTTCCTTAGTTGTTATAAATGAGCCATAGTAATGTAAGATGTTAATAAGGAAAAATGGGTCTGGGGTCTGAAGGAATTCTTCGTGTTACCTTTGGAACTTTTCTGTAAAATTGTTTGAAAGTAGGAAGCTTTTTTAAAAAGGCATTTCAAGACTTTGCATGTGTCCTGTGTACACATCGGCTGCATTTTCCTCTGGTTCTGAGTCTCCCCAGGCTCTCACACGCACTGTATTGCCAAAATGTCTCTTTCTAGCAAGCTGACTCTGGACAAGCTGGACGTGAAGGGGAAGTGGGTCGTTATGAGAGTGGACTTCAATGTTCCCATGAAGAACAACCAGATAACAAACAACCAGAGGATCAAAGCTGCAGTCCCAAGCATCAAATTCTGCTTGGACAGTGGAACCAAGTCAGTTGTACTTATGAGCCATCTGGGCCAGCCTGATGGTGTCCCCATGCCTGACAAGTATTCCCTAGAGCCAGCTGCCATAGAACTCAAATCTCTGCTGAGCAAGGATGTTCTGTTCTTGGAGGACTGTGTAGTTCCAGAGGTGGAGAAAACTTGTGCCAACCCAGCTGCTGGGTCGTCCTCCTGCTAGAGAACCTCCGCTTTCATGTGGAGGAAGAAGGGAAGGGAAAAGATGCTTCTGGGAACAAGGTTAAAGCTGAACCAGCTAAAATAGAAGCTTTCTGAGCTTCACTTTCCAAGCTAGGGGATGTCTATGTCAATGATGCTTTTGGCACTGCTCACCAAGCCCACAGCTCCATGGTGGGAGTTAATCTGCCAGAGAAGGCTGGTGGGTTTTTGATGAAGAAGGAACTGAACTACTTTGCCAAGGCCTTGGAGAGCCCAGAGCAACCCTTCCTGGCCATCTTGGGCAGAGCTAAAGTTGCAGACAAGATCCAGTTGATCAAGAATATGCTGGACAAAGTCAATGAAATGATTATTGATGGTGAAATGGCTTCTACCTTCCTTAAAGTGCTCAACAACATGGAGATTGGCACTTCTCTGTTTGATGAAGAAGGAGCCAAGATTGTTAAAGACCTAATATCCAAAGCTGAGAAAAATGGTGTGAGAATCACCTTGCCTATTGACTTTGTCACTGCTGACAAGTTTGATGAGAATGCCATGACTGGCCAAGCCACTGTGGATTCTGGCATACCTGATGGCTGGATGGACTTGGGCTGTGGTCCTGACAGCAGCAAGAAGTATGCTGAAGCTGTCTCTTCAGCTAAGCAGATTGTATGGAACAGACCTGTAGGGGTATTTGAATGGGAAGCTTTTGCCCGGGGAACCAAAGCCCTCATGGATGAGGTCGTGAAAGCCACTTCTAGAGGCTGCATCACCATCATTGGTGGTGGAGACACTGCCACTTGCTGTGCCAAATGGAACACGGAGGATAAAGTCAACCATGTGAGCACTGGGGGTGGTGCCAGGTTAAAGCTCCTGGAAGGTGAAGTCCTTCCTGGGGTGGACGCCCTCAGCAATATTTAGTACTTTCCTGCCTTTTGGTTCCTGTGCACAGCTGCTAAGTCAACTTAGCATTATCTGCATCTCTCCTTTGCATTAGCTGAAAGCTCATTCACGTCAAGATTTAGCTATTGTCCAAGAGATACAGTGCCAGGAACTTAGACACAGTTGCACAGCATCTCAACTCATCTTTACTGCACCCTGGATTTGCCTATATTCTTCAAGATCCTGTTTGAATTTCTTAGTAACTAAACCATTGTGCATTCTAGAGTGCGAATATTTATATTTGGCCTGTTAAAAGAAAGTGAGTTGTGTTAGTTAGCTTAGTTCTCTTTTAGAAGTAGCTTATTCTGGTTAGCTTTGTCACTGTTTCACTACTCAGCATGGAAACAAGATGAATTCCAGTTGAAGGTAGGGAGACAAAGTCCATGATCTGTTAAATAAACAATTAAAGCATCCATTGAAACTGGAAAAAAAAAAAGGCATTTCAAAAACACAAGCATAGGGCTGGCTTGCAGAGACTCCTGCTCATTAAATCTAGAACAATTAAATGGTAATGGATTATAACCCATGAATTAAATATGAATCCATGTGTTAGTACCAATAATAAATTAATATCATTAGTGGTGAAGGGCTCATACTTTTGGTAGAATGCCCACTGGTGGATGGAGAGGGGTATAATTTCAAAAATCACCATTTGTAACCATCAGTTATGAGTGCTTCAGGCAAGAATCCTCAATGGTGCTAAATCCATTAGGGTTGGTGTTCCATGAAGACCATGATATTTTTATGGTCTTAATGGTCTCTGCAGAGATTGCTTATCATTCGCAAGTGTGGAAAAATGTAAATTTTACAATGTAAAAAGCATGAGATATCTTGGCTGAGTGATCAAAATTAACATCTCTGACGAAGGGAAGATGAACATACCATGCATCCAGGTAAGATTCCCTGATTAGGACACCTGAACTTTTATGGTACAGGCAGTCCCCGAGTTACAAACATCCAACTTACCTATAACTCACACTTACAAATGGAGGCTATTACACGTAATAGGTAAGTATACCTGTTCCAACTTACATACAAATTCAACTTAAGAACAAAACTACAGAACTTATGTTGCTTATAGACTAGGGCCTGTCTGTACTCAAACCAGAGATACAGACTTAAATTTAATCAAGAGGAAAGATACACAAACAAACAGACAGAAAAATACAAACTGAGGAACATTCTATAAAATAATTGGCCAAGGTTAAAGAATTGTTCCTGATAAAGGAGATGAGAGAGACTCAGCCATTGAGCACAGTGTCTGGGCTGACGGAACAAGGTGTACTGGAACAATTGATAAAAATGGGAATCTGAACTGTGGATTAGGTAAAAATATTGTATCAGTGTCAGATTTCCTGAATATGATAACTATACCATGGATCTGTTTCTATGCTAACATTGTCTTTTAAGGAAGAAGACATTGAAGAACTATTAAATGTTAAAAGAACATTAGATATGCAACCCACTTTCACATCATTTGGAAAAAAATAATATGAGACAGCAGAAGAGAGAAAAATTTATAAAGTAAATTTATCATGTTAGGTGAATCTGGGTAAAGGGATTTGGGAAGTCCTAGGTATCATTCTTATAACTTTTCTTTAGGTTTGAAATAACGTTTTAAAGTGCAAAGGTAAAGAATATTTTTTAAAAGATGTGTATCAATGTACCTAGCACAAAGTAAGAATTTAATAAATGTTGGGTTTTTTGTTCCCTGCCTGATTAATGTGATTAATTGAAAGTCATTGCAAAACATGACTGTCTTGGAGAAAAGAATTGTCAAAATTTCTACCTTTAGAAGGTAAGGTAAACAAACACTTGATATCCCAGTTTCTCCCCAAAGAGAGGAATATAAATATTTGAGGATTTGGAGCATAAACTGTGCTTATCTTGGCCTCTTTACCTGGTAGCTACCAGCTTAAAAATATCTGGATGGAGATGTAACAAGGAAGCTGTGGTTTCTTAAATAAATGAACTGAAAAAATGGATTACTCAAAAAATGCATGGAGTGATGGGTCAATGGAACTAAATATTGTTTTAGACGTATGTATGACATTAATCCAAAAGAATACTCAGTCTACATTAGTACTCAGCTTCCCTTTCATATGCTGAGAAATATCAATAAGAGACTGTCACTAAATGCATTAAAGACCCTTCCTTTCCCTGCAGAAATCTGGGGGAGTTTTATGATGATAGTCCCTTTAAGTATACCAGTTTGTTTGAACTCAGATTAGAAGATATAGCACAAATCCATTTCCATTTGGGAAGTGGGACAGGATTTGCAATGCAAAGTTGACCAGGGAAAAATCTCAGCTGAGACAAAAGTTTACAACTGAGTTGATATGAATCATGTATTCTGGATGTGTGAGTCTTTAATAATCCCTCCAAACCAAATTATTCTTCCAGAACATCCTTAAGCGAAAATCAGCTAATCACTTGTAGCTTTTCTTTTTTTGTTCCTGTACAAATAAATGAGACTCCTTCATAGCTAATGCATTACATCTGTTATATCTATGATTGAGAAAACGCACAAAGTCTTGATTTTTTCCCATAAACATTAATTGGTAATTCCACTGATATGAAGGATCTAAAGTAGTCAAATTCATAGAAATAGAAAGTAAAAGCATGATGTCCAGGAACTGGGGAAAGGGGAAAATGAGGTTTTGGTTTTCAATAGGTAGAGAATTTCAGTTTTGCAAGATGAAAAAGTTCTAAAGACCTGTTGCACAACAGTGTGAATGTATTTAAGGTACTGAAATGTATACTTAAAAATGATGAAGGTAACATTGGGTGCAGTGGCTCAAATCTGTAATACTAGGACTCTGGGAGGCTGACACAGGAGGATCCCTTAAGGTCAGGAGTCTGAAACCAGCTTCAGGAAAATGAGAGCCTGTCTCTACTAAAAATAGAAAAAATTAGCCAGCTGCTATGGTGAGTACCTGTAGTCCCAGCTACCCAGGAGGCTGAGGCAGGAGGATTGCTTAATACCAGGAGTTTGCGGTTGCTGAGAGCTAAGCCTAAGCCATGGCATTATAGCTTGGGTGACAGAGAAAAACTCTGTCTCTAAAAAAAGAAAAAGAAAAAAAAGGTTAAGATAGTAAATTTCATGTTGTGTGCATTTTACCACACTTCAGGAGTTTTTTTGTTTAATTTTGCGGTTTTATGTTTCTGGAAACTTCTGCTCATCCAGGTAAGCTGGGCCCAGTCTTGCCGAGATATTTCTCTATCATTTCTCAAAAGTTTGTAGTCACTTTAGGTTCTGCTTTATTTACTCTCCTCAACTTAATGAAGCATCTTTCAACTTCTTGATTCCCAGAAGGCAGGTAGATTAGTTGAGTTCCTAGGACCTATTTCTTGATTCAGCTCAAACTGCCAAAGCTATCAGTCTTCTTTTTAGTTTATACAGTTTTCGAACATTTGAATTCTTCTTGATTTTCTCTTCTGTTTATTATATGTTCATCTACGGACTCCTTTATTCCTTTTATTTCACCCTCTTTTTAAAAGTGCACTTACCTTACATGCAATTATATAATAGATATTTTTATATTTTTAACCATATATAAAATAATGTTATACCACTCTTGATATGCTGTTCAAGTGAATTAAAGCTATGACACTGATTGCTATTATGTTTAAGGCCTATCCTGAGAGACTATTATATATAGTCTACTAGATGACACTGTTCCCATTGTATTCTAGAAAACTGTGCTCCTTGGAATTATTTAACTTGGTTTTTTCCTGGATTGAGCAGAAGTAGTTATATTTTTGTAACAAGACAGATAGCTATAACACTTTCTTGAACTGAAGAAAAACTGGTGAAATTGAGGTTATGAGATCAGAAAGAACTGCATAGAACTGAAAGTAGGAGGTAATGATGGGTTAGAGGCATAAAGGTTTATTTTTCTCTTAAATAAAAGAAACCTCAAAGTAGGTAGTGAAGGACTATCATCAAGGATCCAAGCTACACTTATCTTTCTGCTCTATCATCCTTAGCACTGGTGTCTACCTTAAAGGTTACCTCATGTTCCAAGATAGCTATTGAAATACCAGCTATCATGACTGTATTCCTGGCAACTAACAGGGAGAAAAGGGTAAGAGCAGAAGGGCATGAGACATTTTTCGGCTTATATTTCATTGGTCCAGGAGAGGACCAATGTTGTATCATTGTTGTTATTTTCCCCAGCTAGACACATTACCCAGAAAGAAGGGGAAATTGGATCTTAAGTAAATAATTAGCTGTCTCTGCTCAGTTAGAAATGGTAAATTTATGGCTGAGTAGTAGTCTGTGGTGCACATATGCCATATTTTCTTAATCCACTCATGTACTGATTCCACATCTTTGTGACTGTAAATTGTGCTACAGTAAACATCAAGTGAATGTGTCTTTTTGATAAAATGACTTTTTTTCCCCTTGGACCAAATACTCATAGTGGTATTGCTGTATTAAATGGTAGATCTACTTTTAGTTTTTTGAGGTATCTCCACATGACTTTCCATAGAGGTTGTACTAGTCCCACCAACATATATATATATACTGCACCATATATATATACATATATATATGAGTTTTTTTACTCTCCACATCCATGTCAGCATCTTGTTGTTTTGGGATTTTTTAATAAAAGCCATTCTCCCTGGAGTTAGGTGATGCCTCACTGAGATTTTTATTTGCACTTCCCTGATGGTTAGAAATGCTGAGTATTTTTTCATATGTTTTTGGCACAAAAATAGAAACATAGACTTCTGGAATCTAGCAGAAAACCGTGAGATGAAACAAATCTTATAGCCATCTGACCTTTGATAAACCAAACAAGAACACTCACTGGGAGAATGAATCCCCAGTCAGTAAATGGTTCTGGGAGAACTGGATAACCATGTATGAAAGACTTAAACTGGACCCACACATTTCTCCACTCACTAAAATTAATTAAAGATGGATAAAAGATCTAAATCTAAGGCATGAATCAATAAAAATCCTTGAAGAAAATGTGGGGAAAACACTTGAAGGTATCAGCCTGGGGAAAGACATTAGGGAAGAAGACTCCAATGGCAATTGCAACAACAACAACAATAAACAAATGGGACTTAATTAAGCTGAATAGCTTCTGTACAGCTAAGGAGACAACAACCAAAGCAAACAGACAACCATCAGAATGGAAAAAGATATTTGCATATTATGAATTGGATAAAAGCTTGATAACTAGAATCCGCAGAAAACTCAAATTAAGCAATAAAAATAGAGCAAATAATCCCTTATATCAATGAGCAAGTGAGGTGAATAGAACCTCTCTAAAGAAAACAGATGAATGGCTAGCAGACATATTAAAAAAATGTTCACCATCCCTAATTATCAGAAAAATGCAAATCAAAACCACTTTGAGATATCACCTAACCCCAGTGAGAATGGCCCACATCACAAAGACTC